AGAATTGCTGCTGCTGAGGCTGCAGCTGCTGGCAGCTTCACTGGATGTGTGGGATGCCATGAAGCCAGTGCGACGCAGAGGGGTTATTTGCTGGAATTAAGGGACAAATGAAACTTTCTTGTCATGTAGGAAGAGAAAAAGAATAGCCCATGGATCTCCCATGTCAGCTGTCATTTCTTTTATGAAACACCCTGTGGGTTTTCCCAAATCTTAACTAAGAACAATGTTTAAATGTTCATACACAGCGCGAGTATGGTAAAAGAGGACCTGGAAGTAAGGCTTCACACCTCCGGTCCCACTTGCTGGGAGGTGTAGCCTAATCACTTGTCCTCTCCTCCTCTAAAATGGACATGGACATACTGGTAAAGGTCCATGTCATGGACTCTCCTGTGAGGAATTGGTTTTAATACGTGCGCAGCACAGCTTCAAAACAACCTGCTAGATCACTGTTAAGTGCCTGAATCGAAGTCCTGGCTTGGTCTGTGGATAAAATGATTTCAGAAGCAGCAATCACTTTAGCTGCAAGCTAAAACAAACCCCTGTGCAGTTATAAAACCTGATGGGCTGAGAGAGCTGGGCCGAGGTCTCTTCCATAATCCGGCTGTCAGGGCAGTCACCACTGATGTGCTTATCCAGTTAGCAGAGGGGAGCAAGGTCACTAGTTGCCTAGAGTTGAAAGGATTTCAGGGGAGAGGAGAGATGGTAATGAAATACCACCACCCGCTGCAACAGTATTTGGGACCTGCAGATGGATAGCCCTAAAAGCAGCACGCACTTAGCGTAACAAACGCCTATTTTACCTTCACACGTGAGTTTGGTGGATGCCAAGCCCAGCCGCAGGACGGAGCGGTTTCCAATGAGTCCGTTCTTCAGATTGCGAACCCCTTCATTCCCAATAGGATTGTGACCGAGGTTCAGGGTCTCCAGGCTCTGCGTGTGGGGCTGCAGGCAGGACAGGAAAGTGAAGCCAAACAGTATGTTATAGCAGCAGGAAGGCAGGAGTACGATGCCTCTGCTGTGGAGCGGACTCTGGCAATCACAACTACATCATGGAGGTCAGGGAGGGAGACCAATTTTGGGCTGAGCCTGGATCACCAGGTCTGACGGACACTAGCAGTTTAATCTCCCCTGCAGACTGAAGGGGGCCCTGGATCACTGACCTGGTGAAACCAACGTTGGGATGATAGAGTGCAAACGTGGCCCAGCTCCCAGCCCACTCCTTCGACCTGTCACAAGCTGAATCACTACACTGCCAGCACCCCTCTGCTCCGTGTGAGCCCCCAGACCGTCAGACCTTCTCCCTGCACAAAGTCTTGCCTAGAATACCACGCACTAAAGCCCTGAGCAGCTCAGCCATGGCATAATTAGTGAGAGTGGCTGCTGGCCAGGCGGGGGCCAGGAGCCACAGCTTTCACCTTCCCAGCTTCAGGAAGTGGCTGCTAGCTTGTGGCTGGGGGCAAAAGCAAGCCTACTCTGTAAGGACGAGGCAGCGTGTCAGAGGGTGACAGGAGTAATGGAAGGCAGCTGAAAGACAGGGACGAGCAAGGGAGAAGGTGAGAAACTGGAAGAAAATTCTAGCGAGTGAAAACTGAAGACTGGAAAACCCAGGAGTGAGAAGCTAGAGGCAGGAATCCAGACAGGGACCAGGGGGAGCAGAGCAGCAGCAGGGTCAGGGCAGGCAGCAAAAGGCATGCAGGAGGTAAAGGGGATCCTCTGCTTAGCAGACCCCAGCTCTCACCCCCACCAATTCTCATCCTTTTGCCAAAATGGGCTCTCTGCTCCACCCAGTGTCCCCGTCTGCCCTGACCCCCTCTGCCACAGGCGCGCTGCTTCTCTCTGATTTGAGACAATGGAAACAGGTCTCTGGGAACATTACACTTGCTCTGCCCTGCCCATTGCTGATCTCCAGTTCCTTGATTCGGGTACTCCAGAGGTCTGGGTCCAAACACCAGACAACGGGGAAAGCAAATGGGCCAGCTTACACCCACCTCCCTCCCACCCCAGCTCAGCTGCCGGCTGTTCTGTCAGCAAGGCCATGCCAACACCATTAGTTCCACTCACCAGTGTCATCCCCAGATAAGCCATGCCGGTGTGAGTCAGCTGGTTATTCCACAAAACCAGAGTGATCAGACCTTTTCGCTGCTCCTTCAGCCCCTCACAGACGTACGCCAAACCTAGGGAACAAGCACCAGTCAGCACTTGCAGACCAGTACCTCTGGAGTCACGGTGCCAGCAGCCTGATGCTAACAGACACCACAGGCTTGAACAGCACTTTTCTTGCCTCATCTAATCCAGTCTTTTGCTCAGGCTTCGATTGCTGCAGGAGGCAAGCAACACAAATGGACCTTCCCATACTGCGCAGCACCAAGGGGATATCATATTAACTGCTGCAGCAGGCATGTGGTGCGCTCATTTGTTTCAGGGAGCAAGGCATCTGCAGGGGAAGATGCCCTTAACATAGTCACTGAATCAGAATTAAAACTTGCCTCTGTAAGAGCCAAATGCCCAGGCCTGACCCGTCCAAAGGACGGTTACATATTAATTTTAAATGGCATGATTTTAAAGTAGCTTGGGTCAGGTCAGGACACAGCAGAATGTAAGCACAGGTATATTTCTGCTGTTGCTTTGTAGAGGATGTGTGTACAGGGATGTATTCATCAGGTCTGAAAAAGGAAGTTAGCTCAAGAAAAAGACTCGCCCCTCAAAATCCTTGCCTTTCACATAGCTGTTGTGGTCCAAGGATTATCTCACTACCAGGAAAAACATGTGCGCACACAAAAAACACGGGCAATAACAATATCTGCGTTAGCAAACAACATTTGGGTAACCATCTTGGAAAGGGTCAGCAGGTCTCATTGAGAACAGCCAGATTCCAATCAGGAAATTCAGAAAGCTATTTCAGCAACACTAAGTCACAGCTATTTCAAGTGCCCAGGGATGTGAAGAGGTACCTCAGCTGACCAAGAAGGGAACAGGTCCCCACATTACAGAACTACGCAGATGTTTTGCAACATCTTGGCTTTTGTATAATGGGGAAGTGACACTTCACCATCAGGATAACAGGTTCCTTAATGGGATCTAGGCAGCTCAAAAGCTCCCTTAAGCACTTGGAGAGGTTTACATGGCTCAGACTGCTACAATACCTTAAAAACACTTAAGCTGCTTTCAAAGACACTTATTTCAACTCTGAAATTGGAAGCACGCAGCTCTCATCTCCACTTTCCACTGGGTGCCAGTGCTGGTGCTGCCTGCTACAGGTGTTCTCAGTGAAGTACAGAAAAGGTTTTTCCACAAACCTCTGTCAAATCTGCCCGGCCTGAGGCCTCTTCTGCTGCTCAAAACCTCAAACTAACTCCTGGCCTGTGGAAAGAGAAGACTGCACTTATCGAGACGTGATGTCGCCTAGCAGCTACAACTCTTTCTTTCTACTGACTGGTGCTGCTCAGGTCATAACACTGGGCATTACCTGCACTCCTGCATGTAGGACCTCTGAGGTCCCTTCCAACCGTAGGATTCTACCATAGTGAGCGCTGCCTTGACAGCAACTGCCTAAGGTAGCATCTGCCCTGGTCTTCCCCGAGCACATTTCACCTGGCTTCACTTCTCCATGGTTGTGCTCTGACTCAAGCGAGAGCTCAAACTAACTTTGTTAAAAGAGTTGAGGATTTAGACATTCCCTGTTTGGAGAGTGGGGTTAGAACGATGGCTTGGGGAAAAACATTCAGACAGAGAGGAAGGAAGATTTAGTGTGCTTTTAAAGGACAGATATTTCAAGCCAGCTTGGAGCACGACACTGGAGCTGACAAGCTCTCACATCCCGCATGGAACTTCCAATGGAGCTCATTCTCTGCAACAAGTCTGAGAAGGCAAAGCAGAAAGATAAGGCTTCTGCACCTGAGTCCAGGATGTGGTTGTTCCGCAGGTCCAGTATCTGTATGTAGCAGTTAAACTTCAGCAGATTGCCAAGCTGAGCAGAATCCTGCAGGCCATTCAGTTTGTTATCAGCCAGGTACAGCTCCCGAAGGTTCATGTTCATTTTCAGAGCCGTTGCTAAAAAACAAGACAGCAGAAAAGAAAGCTTCAGCTAACGGAACAAAAGACCACATGGAGCAGGGGAGCTGTGCACGAAAACACGGAACGCCTGGGACAGCATGTAACAGGAGATGACAAGACTTGAAGCTTCATAAATTATTGCTGTGGGCCTGTTAGTTTCTACTGCTCCCAGTTGATTATTAATTCATTCTGGATGGTGTGCAGGGCCATGCACTGTAGGCAAACAGTCCCTACAGCCCATTCTTAGCACCACATCATGTTCTGCAGTGTTTCTCCTGAAACATCAGGGTGTAATCAGGAGAACATTGGGTGTCTAAATGCTTGAGGCTGGAAAGTGGCAGAGCTCCATGTCTGAAAGGCAGCCACTGATGCAAGAGCAGAGTAGAGCTGCAGCACACCAGCCTAGGCTCTGCTCAGGAGACATTGGACCTGGGACATGCATCCCAGGATGCTTCTTGTGGCTTCCTGCAGGCAGGGAACCCATACTCTGCCCCTTATGCCCTCCCCCATTTCTGCACTTAGCCGAAGGGCTGTGCAGTCACACCCTTAACCAGGGCAATCCTGATACTAGAGATCCCCTGGCCAGCAGGGGTACTACAGGCAGGGTAAAGCTCAATATTTCACATCAAGATCACACCTGTATGGCTATCCAGGAGCTATTTACCATGGGAGCTGCTGTCCAACCCATCAGATACACAAGAACACAGCTCTGATGCCAGCAGTTGCATGGGTAGTTACAGCAACTTATTACTGAGAGCCACCTCTTGGCTTGCCTCTGTGACCAACCCATGCTTGCTCTCAGTACAAGGCCTAGCTCCAGCCCATGACAGTTCGCTGCCCAAACAGCCATGGCTGCTCCAAGTGGTTTAGTATTTTGTCAGGAGAGAGTCTGAGCACACCTCTGAACGCTCAGAACTGCAGGTGTGTGGATGACTCCCATCCATCCCCTATCCTTCCACTGCTCGCTTACGCAAATCTTAAGAGAGCAGTGCTGTACCCCCTTCAACCAGGTCAGCACGCAGCACCATGAGACCTGTTAGTACGGTAAGTCTAAAACCTTTTCACAGACGTTTCAAGCCAGCTGGACTGTTGCAATGCTGCAGCTTGGCCGGTCTCACCTGGGAGAGCATAGCAATCAGATCCCTACAGGGCAAACCTCCTCAGGGTGCCCTGCAAACTCTGTGACCTGACAGAGCCACGACCCCTGCCCCTGAGGCTGCTAAGGATGGGAAAGGCTGTACTGTACTTCCATGGAGGCAGAATTATGGCACCGTGGCACAAGGCACCCAGAGGCACAAGTGCAGCCTCCTAGAACATGTGGTCAGTTTAGGAGTAGGGCCAGGACCATGGCTCAAAATGCATCTCTTTGGGCTATTCACCTAGTAACATGAGCGGGCGCCCAGACAGGCTGGCATTCTCCAAGTGCAACACGACCAGGCTGCTACTGATGCGTAGAGCACGAGCCACGAAGGGTGCCGAGTGATCCAGAAGAGGCGTGTTGCGAGCATCCAGGTACTGCAGGCAGTTGGTCTGGAAAAGAAAGGCAGAGGGGAGATGGTTGTTATTCAGCCACATCAGAGCCATTGCACGCCATCAAAGCAGACACATATTCCAACAGAAAAATCCAACTGCAGATCAGCTCTGAAGACCCTTTGTCCAACTTGCCTTGATCAACGAGCCTCAAGGTACGTCATAAACATTACTGAATGCTCACAAGAAAAGCAGCCAGGCATACTGTTGTTTTGAAGATGAGCCCCTGGCACAGAGAAGACCAGGGACATTTCCCTCACGTTATTCATGTCTCATGGATCTTTTGGCCACAAGTTAAAATATGGTGATAGGAACATTCCAAGGAGATGGGTCCAGAGCACCAGCAAACATGGCACCAGACACTGCATCAGGAGCTGCCTAGGCAGGAAACAATGTGGGATGGGATGAGATGGGGGAGGGAATATGGATTCTTCTCAGTTGCTTCCTGATACAAAAGCAAGGCAGTAGGGCAGGGGTGTCAAACTGATCTGGCCTTAGACAGGACATAACCCTTAGACAGTACCTGTGGCTCACACCCCATCCATCAATACACTAATGCTCAGGGAATTTAAGAAATGCTGGGCCTGTGGTTTCTGGTGCAGCCTTAATCCTGCTCTAGACCTGCGTGCATTCCACTGACCTTACACTGACACCATCGCACGCACAGGACTTCAGCCTCACTCCACACAAAGGCTGGACGCACAGGGCAGAACTAAGGCAACAGTGAAGTCTGGCATCTCCCGATGCGAATGTTGACTCTGCAACCTAATTAAAACTTCATAGGATTTTTTAAACTATATTAAGCTCAAAAAAAAAAAAAGTGTGAAAAGGGGCAGATCTGTAAACAGTATTTCTGGCACAATTACCATGGCACCTTTCACCAAGTCCTGATTTCACTTCAGTTGCATGGTGCAAAAAGTGACTGGGAAGAGGGGGCGGTGGCAGAACAACAATCTTTTGCAAAGTACCCTGCTATGAAAGCAGTCCTCACATCAGAGCCCGAGTAATGGAGAGGACGGGTATCAGATACCAGCTAACCCTGTTTGCTGGAATTTGGATTTCCAGAGTCCTGATGTTTACTACAGGCACTCATTAGACAAAACCACGGGCACAACATGATTCTGCTGCGCTGTAACAGAACTGTAGAAGGATTTACCTCAATTCTACTTTCATCTTATTTTGCAAGCAGACTTCTACTTGCTCATGATACCATGTTACAGGAGTAGAAACAAGGTGGAGTCATAAATGTCAAAAGGAATTGGTGTCTGTAGAGTGCTCTGAAAGTGTGAAGCTCTAAGGTACCAAGTGCTGCTGTGATACTGTGGTGAGTGGGTAGTGAGATCCCTTGCACACCATAACAGAATGCTGCACAGAATATTTCTGCCGGTCTCCATTACCCAAAGAGCTGAAGGCTGTCGAGGAGCCCGGCTCCATGACACAAACATGCACATTATTTTGGTGAACACAAATACTTTGCCCAACGAGCATGGCACGCATCGTGCCTGTTACCTAACCTTGTACAGTACACCCAGGCAAGGTTAGCGTGGGAGAAGCTTTTCACTACTCACTGCATCATCTTCACACAACAGCTCCATACACATTGCTGTATATCAGTTACTCTGCTAAGAAAGGTGTTTGAGCTGGGGGTGGGGGGCACTATTAATACTTCATGGGTTGTTTTGAACAAAGTCTTTGTCACCTGGCTTCAAGCTTTACAGGAGTTTTAAGAGGAAAGATCACTTAGGGTGCAGAGCTCCATAAACTCGAGAGCTCTGCTACACATTTCCTTCATGACTTTAAGGAAGCCATTTTAAATAGCTCAGCTATAAAAACAAGGACACTCCTTCTTGGAGATGGCCTGTGTGCTAACAACTGACCGGAAAGGGAGGCACCCTGAGTTGGAATCAGGGTTAAGCTTTTGGGGTTAGAGTAGTTTTAGTCGAGTTCAAAGGTTGCATCATGTGGTCACAATATTTTCCCTGGGGGCAGAGCTGCGGTTTTCCCAGACTAATCTCATTCAGTGTGTCAGTGGACAGATATTAAAGGTATGCTCAGATGACACAAAGGCTGGCAGCTGGGCCAAGGTCTTTCAAATCACAAGGCAGAGCCTTAGTCATGATACAAATCTTCCGCCTTCCCCGCAACACTGCAAATACCAGATGGGACTTCCCAGGAAAGCTCAACACCAGACCTGTAATGTTTTATGTGCACGCACTAGAAACTGGCAGGTCAACCAAGTTTCAATAGCACTGAAGTCTGGCACTACAATGACTTGTAGCTATGTGCATGGACCAGCAAATAATGATATGGTCTTGAGGGAGGTACTTTCCCACTTTACAGCCCGTGTCAGCTGGTCCATTTTAACCATTCTGTTTGTCTGCTTCAATCCCACAGCAAGTGAGGCTGAACTGCTATAAAATGTATGGCTGAATTAAATGGGGCGAATGACACAGACAAATTGATTTGGTTCATCTTCTGCTCATCACAGGATAGGCTAGAGAGATGAAGGAAGCAGCTGTCACACACCCAGATGGACTGCTGTAAGCCTCCTCTGCCTCTTCCAAAGCACCATAATGGTTTCCTCTCTTGACCCACTATGTTAGTCTCTATGGACAATCCCAAGCAATGAGTTAAAAAACAAATGCTAAAAATACTCAAGAGCTAACACCAACCTTTCTCATCATGTGTGCGGCTGCCTGCCAGCCTCGGGTGCCGATGTGTTTGTTAAACGAGATGTTGAGGTGCGTTGCTGACTCATAATACTCAATCATGTCAAATAACGCCGAGGCACCCTGGAAAATAAGAGGGAAGGGGGTGGAGAGAGAACAAGAAAGTTGACATAGAGCTGGGCTAGCACAGAAAAGCCGATACAGCAGCAAGGCTGGCAGACAAGTGCCAGCTTTTTATCTCCAGGAAGTGACCTGCCTAGAAATGATCCATTCAGTAAGCAGGCTTCATACTGATGGAGGTTTGGGAAGAGAATCCCCCCCACCCCCAACGCACACAAGGGATTTAATCCTGTGGTTGGGTCACTTTTCTCAGCCATTCCTTTCTGAAAAGCAACGAGCAGCACTTGATTATTCCTCTAAAACCCTGGGACACTTTTCTGCAGCTCCCCTGAAGCTCATGTGGATTATTCCAGCATGCTGGGGTCTGGGCCATCTGACACTGCTCTACTTCGTTTCCTTTTTCCCCTCGGCCCCTGGGCAGGCTGCTCGGGGAAGCTCAAGACACTCTGACCCCTCAGCTGAGACTCAAATTCAAGTAAGTGGCCTAGGTATGGACAAGAAGCCAGTGGAGCCCAATGCAAACATGAAATGACCTTGCTGTACAGGCTCCAGTGGCTCTGGGTGGGATTGATGACAAAGCCAAAATTTTCAGTGACTGCAAAGGGAACAGGACTGAGCCCTGTGGATATTACATGGGACTGAACAACAGAAGGGGCTGGGGTTGGGTCAGCTTCATCCAGAGATGAGGTTACTCCGTCCAATTAATTGGAGGGATGTGGGGAAAGTGTTGTGTCCTGTTGAAAGTTACTCAAGTGACAATGTCAGACGTGGAGCTCGTTTGTCCAGGGAACATGAACAGACCAGCAACAAATAGCACAGACGTGCCATCTATCAGTCTTCTGCCAACGAGCCTGACCTCCAGAGGCAGCGCAGAGTTCCAACCTGTCCACTTCGGAAACTCAGACACAAGTGAACCGGTTAATGCATTCTTCCGATTACAGACGAAACAAAGTTCCTCAGTTTCATGGGGCACATACGGCACTCACTGCCACTACTTTCTCCTCCAAAAACTATATGTGGGGACTCCAACAATGAGGTGTCATTCAGAAACTGAGCAGAGGTGTTCAGAGTTGGAGCCTTGCTTAAACATGGGAGTTGCATCAATTTAATTAAAAAGCTGATTTAAAATGGTTTGAGTTAAAATTGGTGCAAATCCTGCACTGATCTAACTGGATTACAGCAAGTGTAGCTACTTCAGCCAATTACCAGAACGGAATGTCCTGGTATAAACCCACTGCAACATTGACAAATGAATAGCTCTCTGACATCCCACCTCCCAGAAGAAAAACGGTGGCCAGGGTTCTCCTGCAGCTGTCTGCTGGCACAGCTATATTGGCAGTTCATGTCAGAGCTATGAACCCCAACAGACAGAACCATGTCAGCAAACTCCCTGTAGCACTAGCAGAGTTATGCCTGCAAAGCCACAGCTCAACCACGTAACTTGCTCATGGGGAGATCTTTACTTGACTGGTACAAAACAGTTTCACTCAGCACAGCTGTCATGTCCCCACTAAGACAGCTTGACCAGCACAGAAAAACACTCCCTCTATATCCATGAAGGGCTACAAGCATGGCCATAGCAAAGGAGGCAGAATGGCCTCTGGGCCAGCTGCGGTAGCCTGCAGTAGGATGTGGCTCTCTCTTTCACCTTGCCTCTTGACATCAGCTGCTGTTGGCTGTTTCCTTTCAGACTCTGTCCACAGCAGCTAAGAAGGGCGAGGAAAGACTTACTTAGATGTCTATGGGCTGGAAGCTCTAGCCCACAAGAACACGTCTGAACCCTGACAAATCAGCTATAGGCAAAGCCAACACCCTGTAGTAAGCTCTCACTTTATAAATGAGAAAGATTTCTCACAAAACACCTGCCCTAACTGAAACAAATTGTTGAGTTTATCCCTCATCCACATCACACCGAGAGGCCAAAGGATCAACACCACCCACATATGTAAACTGGAAACCGAAAACATCTACGAGTTCATTTGGTCCATACCTAAGAAACAAGGCAGGAGGATTCCCTAGAGAGCTAGGTGGATTTTGCTTAGTTTTAGGATGATGAATACAAAGTTTCTAAGCACATCATTTGGGAGCTCATGGCTTAACCAACCTCCATCAGAAAGTCACCTAAGGTGTAGCCTAAACTATATTAAGAAATCCACCATGGAGATAAAAAGGCTGGTCACAGCTGAAGAAGGGATTCCAAGGAAGCATGATGCACCAGCAAAAGCTTCTTAGTGAGGTAAACACTGTTAAATGACCCCCCTTTTGTTTTATGAGGAAATATGCCAGAAACATAGTATGCCAAGTAACTAGCCTGAAAAACCAAATCAACCAGTCTACAGCATTCATATCATACACCGCAAGAAGCACTGGATGATCATCTCATTTCTGTTCTTCCCATCCACAGGAAGTGTAAAGGTACCAAGTGCAAGGTCATTTACACGGGCTAAAACCAATAATTTCCTAGTCTCAACTGGGAACTAATCCATTTGAGAGAATAGCAGGAGAAAAACCTGGATGTACCAGTTGATCACAGGTGAGTATGAACTGCTAGCATGACACAGCCATGAAGAGAGAGACCAATGTAATCCTAGACTGCATCAGAAGTATTTTTAGTAGATACAGGAAAGCATCACTGGTCCTAAGCATCTAGAGCATGAAAAAAAATACTCTAAATACTCTAATAAAGATGATTTGCACTTCTAAAGACAATGAAATATTAACACCCACCCTTCCTTTAACTATTTAAGACCTTGGTAGCAGCCAACTTTTAAGAGTTCTGGACATCTTCACTTTCCCATAGTCAGTCAGGTCATCGTGACCAACAGGAGTAAAATTTCAACTCGCAAGAAAAGCCGCTTATAAAGCGAGGGGACCTATAATTAGTTTCCCCCCAACCCCAAATACGACCCATGGTAACCTGGAAGCTTTGGGAGATTAGATACTAATGACTACAGAGAAAAGATGCAAAGGACTGAAGTGGTAGTAAAGAATCGGCTCCGTTTTCGAGGGAACAAGGCTGAGACGGCAGCTTGGCATCTGGGAGATTTCACTTGCCTCACTGTTTTAAGAGGCGCGAGGTTGGCATGAACTTTGGGCACATCTGTACAGAAGAGTCGGGTGGAGTGATCACAGAGATAAGAAGTGGCCCAAAGCAGAAGTATACCCAAGTGGCCCAAAGCTGGACTCGATCCCCAATCTTTAAGAGCAAAATTACCAAATGGGTCAGTGGTGAAATAAGCTACTAAGAGCATAAGCCCAGGTCTTGACCTTAAAGGGTTACTGCAGCATGGTCCCACTGTACCAAAGCAGCTAAAGATGCATCCATCCTTCACTTACCCATTGGGACCTACAGGATAATTTTGCAGTGAGGGGCATCCCCTAATCACACCTAGACAATACACAGACCATGAACAAAGAGCTTGTTCTGCAAGCTAATGCAGCACAAAAGGTTGGAATGAGAAATCTGAACTCAGCTTCCAGCCAGGAAAGAGCCTTCCAGTCACCTTTGATCATATGAAAAGAATGTTCATACCTATCCCTAATTCACAATGATTTGGGATCTTACTTTGAGCTCCACTTGAATCCTGGCCATCTGGACTCTGGAAGCATAGAGACAGCAAGAACAAGAAAATGTGTACATGAGAACAGGAAAGGGGATAATACCAAGCGCAATATAATGTCAAGCGATGGTCTTAATTTGGATGTTCCCATCCAGCTGTTCACTAACCTGTGTGCACAAGAGCTCAGAACCGGACAATGCTGGACAACACAGAGAAAGCAGGCAGACTTCTCTCAGGCTTGGAGACAAAAGGCTATGATAAGTGAGGTAACGGGAACTGTTACTTACATCTTCATCCAAGTTTGTTTGCTCCAAATCAACAATTTTGAACTGGACCCGTTTGAAAATCTCTTCCAGCGCCTCGCAGGCTTTGTAGTCTAGTTTTTCTCCTGGAAAAAAACCCAAAGATTAGAAGATCCAACGGTAAGCTTTTTGTAGACCGACATGTAACAGCACCAAAAACCATACGACTCTGAACTGTTGGGACACAGAAGGCAAGGACCGGTAGGAGAGACTGATCTTTCTCTTCCTTCATTTGAGATTAGCCAGCTACTGTTTGTCCAGATAAGACTTTAAAGTAGTATTAAAAAGACTTTTTATTATAAACATAAATGGAAACACACCTGGGACTAGAGAACTCTTTAAGGCGTTTTCCGTTCCTCAACAGCATACGTTGCACGTACCAACCAACCAACCCGGAATTCTACAGATTACGCAGACGTTGGGGAAAACGAACACAAGACGACTGCTTATGCTGGCTCATTAGCATAATGCAAAAACATTCATTTCTTGATTTTAGACCAAGTACCAGCAACACCCCTGACCGACTGTTGAATACATCTCAAAGGTATCAATGGAGGCCACACCATACAGGTTGAACATGTAAATATTCCATAGAGATCATCCTCCACTGACAGGGACACAGAATTGACATGTTTGCCACTGCCAATGCCTAGGATCCTTTGGTCGGGTCATCATAAGCAAAGGAGGTAGGCAAAACCACGTCATTTTTTTAGTAATCCCATCATCTGACTCTCCGCATTATGACCTGGCGCACATGCACTGAGCAGCACAGCTCACATCCAAGTGTAGCAGCAAGGCCTCTCATTCATATTTTTAGTTTTGGATCTAATACAAACCAGGACGCGCAGCAGCATAAGAGGAAGCCATCAACACCGCAATTCACGCAATCTGAACAGGCAGAAAAAGCCAGAACTCCAATTACGGTTAAAAATGCACATGGCCGAGTGCTTCAAAAATAGAAGTCTGAAGTCAGACTCCTAAAGCCATATTTAGATTCACAAAACCATGGCCTGATTACTGGAGTAGCTGAACATTTGCACACCACTGATATGCATATCATCACAGTGGCAAGGAGTCCCAGCCACAAATCACAGTCCCACTGTACCAGGTAAGGTGCTACCCAAACTAATGAAACAGATCCTGCTCCCCGGGGCTGACAAAAGATGACAGATGAAGGTAGGCAGACCAGGGAATACATGGTAAGACAGGCCAATCTCAGGATAACAGCAGCCTGTTGTCTTTGCCTTCGAAAACCTGAGCAGCAAGAATGGATTTGAAGGGAAGCGCGTAAGCTCTGCAGAGGTGAACGGAAGCTCCTCCCTCCTGCGTGGAGGCAGAAGGAGATGCGGCTCGTGGGCATCTGCTCTTTGATAGAGTGAGAAACAGCAGGCAGAGGGACCTTGAAATGCCTGAGAGAGGACAAGGAGCAGCTTATGTTCGAGTTTCACCTCTCTGGATGGAAACAGCGCTGAGCCTTCCAGAAGTCAAGTGAAAGGCACCTGCAAGACTTCATTTCTGACCAGAGGGTGCGTTAAGAGAATCCAGGCCTGCTACGGATCTGAGCAACAAGCAGGACAGTGGTGCTTGCACGCAGCAAATCAAGAAATTGAACAACAAGGGGTGAGTAGGAGCCATGCTGTCCTTGAGCTGACAGCTAGACACATCTACAAACCACAGGGTCAGAAACAGGCCCAGATTCCAATTTGGCTACACACAGGCAGGTAAGTCTGCAAAATACCTGCAGAGACAGAAGCTGAATTGTGCTTGCAGGCAAGACTGTCCTTGTATGCAATTACCAGATGAGGGGCTCTCTCCCATGCTGATTGGTGGGGGAAAAAAACCTCATCTTGTGTTCAAGTAAATACCATAACTAAGGAGTCAAGAAGGGACTGGTTCTGGTTTGGCAAGGACTATTTCAACGGTGTGCAAAGGGCAGGCCCCAGGACGGAGCTGGCATAGAGCACACTAGACAGCAGTTGTAGACAGCACTTCTAGCAAGTATGGGGTAAAAAGGAGAAGGAAGCACTATTCAGGTGTTTGTTATTAAAACACAGAGGAGGCTAAAGCATGTGCATGTTATAAGGGTTGAGGAGGAAAGTAAGGAGGGGACTTGAGTGTTAGATCAGGAGAGAAGTGGAACAGAGTGACCTAGACAAGGGAAGGGGTGAAATGGAGCAGATAATTCCTCCTTTCTATCCAAGAAGAAGAAAAATGCAGAAGAACAAGGCTGGTTGAGAGGAGACAGAAGCTCACATCATATTATGTCAGTCTTCTCCAGGAAGAAAATCCTGCCAGAACTTGTGTGGGGAGAGACATTTGGGACTGGATTAAACAGCAGATAGAGCCACATACCAGAAAGATGGCAGAGAGGTAGTTCACCAGGCTAGCCTGAAGTCAGGCAGAAGGTAGGACATGGGGGGTGGGGCGGTGGGGAGAGCACCTTGGAGACAAGCTGGTTTGGAGAGGTATGAGCTTTTGCAGGCTATAGTCTATGGTGTCAGATGCTAAGATGGCAGAACTGAAAAGGGAGAACCACGGGTAGCAATGGACCAGGCTGAAGGAGACGGGGGCGCAGGTGGTTTTTTCCTCTCTTCTTCTGGCGAGGGGGCGGGGACAGAGGCTCGGGGCCTGCATTGGTGAGGTCAACCATCGCTTACGCAGCTGGTGCCGCCGGGCAGGCCTTGGGTTCCTTGACAATGACCCATGCTCTCGGGAGGGGGGATTGCTGGGGCGGGATGGGCTTCATCTCTCCCCTAATGGCAAGCGTGTCTTCTCTTCCAGGTTGGCTGATCTCGTACGGCGAGCTTTAAACTAGACTCGCCGGGGGAGGGGGCTGCAGGAAGACGAGGAGACGCCATCAGGGCAAGGGGTGCAAAGGTAAGTAAGTATGTAGTATACTATAGTTACTTTTTCTTCCTGTACATTACCTCTTCACTTAAAGCCATGTTCCTTATTCTGGCATGCCTGTGGGTATCAGGGGGGGGGGTGGGACTTTATGTCAAGGAGCACTACACATCCTCTGCCAGCAGTATGGGGTCAGGGGAAGGGCGAGCTGAAGTGCTCTGGGTCAAGATCCAGGGGGGGCAAGGCGAGAGGGATTTGACGGTGGGGGTCTATTACAGACCCCCCAATCAGGAGGAGGAGCTGGACAGGGAATTTTCAGGCCAGCTTGCGGAGACACTAAAAGCAAGGGATGTAGTTGTCATGGGCGATTTTAATTACCCGGACATCTGCTGGGAGGAGCAGTCAGCCGGGACGGACCGCTCCAGGAGGTTCTTGGCCGAGTTGCAGGACCTCCACTTGATTCAGGAGGTGCACAGTCCCACCAGAGGAGATGCTCTGCTGGACCTGGTCCTGGCCGCAGGCGACGACCTGGTAAGAGGCCTCCAGGTTCTTGACCACCTGGGCAATAGTGATCATCGCGTGCTGGAATTCACCATCCAGCGTAGAGTGTCAAGGGCCCGCAGCAAGGTGGTGGCCCTAGACTTCAGGAGGGCCAACTTCAGTGAGATGAGGAGATTAGTGGGAGAGGAACTGGGGTCCTTGAGGGCAGAGGAACTCAGCGTCCAAGAGGAGTGGTCGTTCCTTAAGGAAACGATACTCGGGGCCCAAGGGGTGTCCATCCCGACAAGAAGCAAGGCGGGCAGGAGTGTCCAAAAGCCCCCCTGGCTCACCAAGGGTGTCCGGGAATGCCTGCTTGCCAAAAGGGTGGCGTACGCCCGGTGGAAGGGGGGTGTAATCTCCAAAGAGGAGTATACCTCCTCTGCTCGGGCCTGCAGGCGGGCTGTTAGGAAGGCCAAGGCGGAGATAGAGCTCGGATTAGCGTCCAGGATTAAGGATAACAAAAAGTCCTTTTTCAAATATATTGGGAGGATGAAGAAGGCGCCGGGTAATGTGGGGCCCCTGCAGGATATGCGGGGCAATCTGGTGGTTGCGTCAGAGGATAAAGCGGACCTCTTTAACCAATTCTTCACCTCCGTTTTCTTGTGCAGGGACCGGGACTTCCCTGCTGTGATAGAAGCCGGACGCGAGGGGATCGCCTTCAGACCTCAGGTTGGGGAGGACCGGGTTAGAGAGCTTCTGGAGGGGCTGGACGCGTTCAAGTCAGCGGGTCCGGATGCTCTCCACCCCAGGGTGCTGAGGGAGCTGGCTGGGGTTATTGCAGGGCCCCTGGCACGGCTCTACGAGCGATCGTGGTGCTTGGGCCAGGTGCCAGACGATTGGAAGGTAGCTAATGTGGTCCCCATCTTCAAAAAAGGGAAAAGGGAGGACCCGGGCAATTATAGGCCCGTCAGTCTTACCTCAATCCTGGGGAAACTCTTTGAGAAGATCATCAAGGAGCACATTTGTGATGGGCCGGCATCCGAGATGATGCTCAGGGGCAATCAGCATGGATTTATTAGGGGGAGATCATGTCAGACCAACCTGATTGCCTTTTATGATCAGGTCACAAAGGCCATGGACGCAGGTGTCGCGGTGGATGTAGTCTTTCTGGACTTCAGCAAGGCCTTTGACACCGTCTCTCACCCCATCCTAATTAATAAACTAGGCGACTGTGGCATAGATGCCTACACAGTCAGATGGATTGCAGATTGGCTGAAGGGTCGCACTCAGAGGGTGGTGGTGGATGGATCATACTCGACTTGGGGGGAGGTGGGTAGTGGAGTCCCCCAGGGCTCGGTCCTGGGGCCTGCGCTGTTCAATTTCTTCATCAGCGATCTTGATGTTGGGGTGGAAAGCAACCTGTTTAAATTCGCTGATGACACCAAAATTTGGGGGGAGGTGAGCACGCTAGCAGGGAGAGAGAGATTGCAGAAGGATCTGGATAGGTTACAGGGGTGGGCAAACAGGAACAGGATGTGTTTCAATACGGACAAGTGCAGGGTGCTGCACTTGGGTAGTAGGAACCAGCAGCACACTTATACGATGGGGAGCTCCCTACTTGAGAGCACGGAGGCGGAAAGGGATCTTGGTGTCATTATTGACTCCAAGATGAACATGGGCCGACAATGCGAGGTCATGGTTGGCAGGGCTAACCGGACCTTGTCGTGCATCCACAGGTGCATCTCGAGTAGAGCCAGGGAGGTGATCCTCCCCCTCTATGCGACGCTGGTCAGGCCGCAGCTGGAGTATTGTGTCCAGTTCTGTGCGCCCCATTTCAGGAGGGATGTGGACAACATGGAGAGGGTCCAGAGGAGGGCCACCCGCATGATCCGGGGACAACAGGGCAGACCCTACAGTGAGAGACTGCGGGACCTGAACCTATTCAGCCTCCACAAGAGAAGGCTGAGGGGGGACCTGGTGACCGTCTATAAACTCACTAGGGGGAACCAGAAGGGTTTGGGGGAGACGCTGTTTCCCCTAGCCCCCGCTGGCATAACAAGGAGTAATGGGCACAAGTTGATGGAGAGGAGGTACAGATTGGACATCCGAAAAAACTACTTCACAGTTAGGGCGGCTAGGAGCTGGAACCAACTTCCAAGGGAGGTGGTGCTGGCCCCTACCCTGGGGGTCTTTAAGAAGAGGCTGGATGCCTACCTGGCTGGACTCATTTGAGTCCCGTTTTTGTTTTTAGGGTTTTTTGTTGTTCTCCCGCCCTGGCGGGGGGTCGGGCTAGAAGATCTATTAGGTCCCTTCCGACCCTAAAACTATGAAACTATGAAATCAGTCTGGTCATGGGACTTCTACCAAAGATGCTCCTCAGAGTGCAGGCAGGAGCAGAAAAATTCAATGCTCGGGGAGGAGCCAGGGCTGCGAGATGGGAGAATAAACCCAGACAGAAGAGAAGGCAAAAGAAACAAGGTGCAGGAGAGCGAAGCAGAGGAAAATCAACCACACCAAGGGGCGGGGGGAAGGGAGGGGAGAGGAGCAAAGCAGGGAGCAGACAAGAACCACTACCACCAGCAGACTGGAAGACATAGGAAGGCCAAGGGATATGAGTGGCACCACGAGAAACCAGGTAATAGTTGGGAGAGGAAGAAATTAAAAGGTCCCAGTAAGAAAGTCAGAGAGCCTCATTTATACATTAGAAAATACTGGCCTAAACAAACCACAGCACTGAGGGCTGAGTGGCAAAGCACTTATACTGGACATTAAAAAAAAAAAAAGAAGTCAAGACTACAGTATCTGCCTTGAGACTGCTGCCTGGTAATTATACTTTATGTTCACAGCTTTTAAATGACCGTATGGCCACATAGTTTTCAAACACTAATTTCCTATGCTCTTTGATGCAAGCGTGGTCTATTCTAGAGCAGTGGTTTTCAACCTTCTCATCTGTAGACCCCTAAAAAAACTGAACTGTCAGTGTGGGTGTTCACATACTTTTGACTGCTCACAGTCATCTTAGACTGCCTGCGGACCCCCAGGGGTCCATGGACCACAGGTTGAAAGCCACTGTGCTAGAACATTAAGGATTCGGTGTAAAAGGAGCTCCACTTCAACCCATGTTAACAGAAGCTAGAGGCACCCTGGGGACACACTGAAAACTAATGTAGGAGTTTACAAAGCATGAATCATCTTCTACCTCCCACCCAGCCACATGCCTCGACTGTCTAAACTCCAACCCTTGCTCCAGTTCCCAGTACCAAACGATACAGCCCCGCCCCGCAGCCAGGCAGGCTTTGCAGTGCTTGGCATTCTGGTACATTTGCAGCGCTCTCTCTAGTGACAAATTTCCTGGCAAGTTCTCTGGTGCATAAATCAGCATGCATTTCAGTTGTCTCTCCACGAGCCCTGTAAATACACTTGGGAGGCTTTACCCCATTCAGCACATGATTTGTGTTTCAGTTCACAGAACTGCTGCCGTCAGTTGTTTAATGCAGTTTCTGAGGCTTCTGGCTTTACTGCCACTTCCTTATTTACATCTCTCTTGGGACCCGTCCTCAAAACCACAGGCAGTGTCAACCAAAGGGTTCTGACTGTTTGTGTAACCTGCAGCTGTGCAGACCAGCTGCCAACAAATCCTGGGAGCGGGGCAAGGGACAGGTCACATGGGGAGAGCTCTCTGTGACTTATACCCGCTGACCTGAAGGTAGGTCTGCCTCCCCCTGCTCTGCCTTGCCAGGCAGTCTGCTCCACTCTGATCAACGACCCAGCAAGATTTTACTCACAGCTATGGTGTTTCTCTGCCTGACTGCTTAGAGTGCTGGTTTTTCCATGTCGCATCTACTCAGTTCCAGCGTACCAGGAAACAGTCTGGGCTCGAGTGGGACTGATCCTACCGATTTCAGTGACAAGCCTGAAAACTTTGGGGGTGGGGGAGGAACCAGGGAGACCCTAGGCACCAGGTGAGCAGCAGTTTCACTCCCTGCTGTGATAGTCTAGAACCAAAGGAATGGGTGATGTACAGCAGCAAACATCTCCAGCATGACAAATCTCCCCCAGTGCAGGCAATGCTGACACTGACAAGGACTTATCTTTAGGATGGAAAGAAAGGAAAAGAAATAAAGACAGTGGGGAGCAGCGTGGCACAGAACTGTGGTGGAGGGCAAGGAAGGGGGCCAGGGAGCTCATGAGGAAGGGCAAGAGACTACGTTAGAAGCCACAGAAGACTATGGGGAAGTTGGCTTGGCCCAGAGAAGCAGCAAGGTGTGCACCTCTCCAGCGGTACATGTCACTTCAGGAAGTCACCTGGTCTTGATGAGAAAAAGCCACAAAACATGCTCATTTAGCTAGGTTTCTCCTCAAGCAATGGTCTTGGATCTACTTGGCTAGAAGAGCTCGGGGATACGCCCTTCAATTTCTTCAGCCTCGATCTAGATGTGTGGTTTCTGGCTGCATTTTATCAGTTATGGGCCCCATTCAAATGGCAGTCAAGACTGTGCACAGGAATTTTTAAACGAGCCTTAAGTGACTTAGGAAAACAAAAACATGGGACTTGATTCCCTGAGTCAGCAGATGCTTTGGAAGCTACCTTTGACCTTGTGACATGCCATTCCCCAAGGCAGCTGCTCAGCTCCACAGCTGTCTGCTCACAGGGTGCAATGTTTCTTCCACTACCTAGACTTTTGTCAAGGGGTCTTTGGTCTCACCCTTTGGTTCCAAGTCTCCAGCTTATGAACTTTTGTTCCCAACTGCACTTTATAAAGCTGTTGGGTAGATTTCCCTTGGGCACACGGATAGTGAGGTCAGAGAGGGAGTGGCTGTGCCGTGAGCTTTTTTGGTCCTTTGTTTAATTATAAAGTTGGAATGAACAATTTTGTTGTGCTCAGAAGAGCTACTGAAGAGAAACAAGACTCCTAACCCAGGACCCTCCATCTCCTGGCAAAAAAGCATGAAAAGCAAGAGCTTTGAGTTACTTTCATTTGAACATTTTTATTGGGAACACACCTTTGTGCACACACACGAGTAAGGCTGTTGTTCTGATAACCACACCACAACCAAGAAGATCAATCCTTCAACAGCAACCTCTTTGGATAATTAGATTTTTTCTCCTGCCACTTTTGAATGGCAGATGTAAAAAGTGACCATAGAAACAGCAAGATATCCATAAGAAAAATGCTAGTCTCAGCTTCTAGGAGCCGCATGTAGAACACAAGTGACAAGTGGGAAGAGCCTTCAAGAGCAGGTAGAGGTCAGGGCTGAATTAGCAGAGACAGACAATCACCACACAACTGCTGAATAATCAGCTCTTTACTCCTGATAGAGCTCCTGCCTTAGTAAATGGCTTCAGTACGTTCTTTCCTCACACAACTGCTTACTGAACTAAACTCCTGGAAAGAGGGCTGAGAACTGAGATAACAGGATTTGCTGCTATCTAATGGACAAGTTGTTCAGGTTAGTCACCTTCGCTGAATGAGAGCAGTATGAGGAGGGGTTGAATCAAGCTAGATGCAGCAGCACCTTGAGGGAACTTGAAGTCCGATGTTGACAGATGCAGATTATTGTATGACTTTTCCCCTTGCTTCATGCTCTAATGAGCTGTTAGCACAGGAAATGGGCTGCACATCAGTGCAGGAGCGAGAGCTCTGCCCAGCATGCCACCAGTCTGAACATACACAGAGTCATGCAGGTGATGAGAAAGAGCCTTACCTTTGAGGTCCAAGCAGTCTATCCTGGGAGCCAGATCCTTAAGCTCCTGTTAAAAGAAACAGCATCAGGTTATACTCTGGAGTAAGTAAGGTAACAGAGAAGCAGAAGGCCACAGCACTGTGCTAACCCCCTCCCAGGGATGTTAAGGGAGGTGTGGGGGAGCAGAGCACATTTTTATGGCTGGGATTGGCTCAATGGAGCCACCATGTCAAAGACACTCACATCTGACAGAGCGGTCAGTCCCAGCAGGTATCACAGGACAAACATGGGAGGGTGGAAAGGGCAGGTCAGATCTGAGCCCCTCCCTCCACCTGCTATCTGTGAGGAGAGGAATTCTTTGCTCCTGCACCAGGGGCAAATCCCTGCCCTTAACCATGGGCAGCTTGAAGAAAGCTTCCAGGAAGGAGCCAGTCATAAAAGTAGCCAGGGCAGGTCCTGCCACAAGTGCAGTTCTAGCCCTGGCTATTCTCCCCAGTGTCTACTGGCAGCTCTGCACAACCCCTTCCTCACCGGGGCTTTGCCCAACCTCACTGCACCCATCCTTACACTCCCATGCCCATTTCTCTTGGGCCCAGCCCTCTTCTTACTTGTGCACTAATCCATTCCCGAATAAAGCCCCACTCAAAGCACTGAGAGAAAGCTGGAGTGGGGAAAGCTTTCACCACAACAGCAGCCCCTCTATCCCTTTTCACTTCACCCTTTGTCTGTTTGGCCCACTCATGCTGTAAATACTTGGGGGTGGGAGCAGAGGGTACTGCAGTTTCGGTGCAATGGACCCCCTTTCCTTAAAAACCCCTAGAGTAGAGCCATATGGGACTAAGGCAGGAGGTGCAGCAGAATTACTCTCTCCTTCAACTCTGATCACTGAAATCTTAAAGGGAAAGGGCATGGGCCTGTGGTATCCCCCACTGTGTTCTAAAGGCAGCAAGGCAGGTCTTTGTAGATGGAGGTATGCAGAGGGAATATGCCCAAGAATAAGTGGCCAGTTAGGAAGAACTCTGGCTGCTTTGAAAAGGAGATGCAAGGGAAAGACCGATTAAGCCACAAAGCTTTTATCCAACTGCTCTGCTAACAGTGGATTTACATTCTTCTATACGCAGGCAACAGTTATGGTAATGTCAAGGGTTTTATTGCTCCAGAAATGTAGGGTCTGTATTTGATAGTGCTCAAATTAGTAAGGAGAATTATTTTGATGGATAATGATCAATGCAGATTAGAAAGTGGTTTCTTAGGTGACCCAAAGAAACTGTTGCAAAACGGACATCAGTAAGATGGCTGCTTTGACTCTAGGCTTAAAAATACCAGGTGTAATTTCAGAAGTCTTCACATTTTAATTACTTCAAGAAGAACCTATAAGCACAAGCCTTCAGCTCAGCATGCCTGGCCCACCATACGAAGTGTAGTTGCATCTGGGTATCAGAATGCGGCATGAGAAGTCGATGCATTTTAGAGAAAAACCCTAAAGCAGAGTATATGCTGGGGCCCCTGGCAGACATTAATCATGCAACGGGATCAGAGGAATTTCATCCCAGGTGCCAAAACTAATGCAGCCTGCCATGTCAGGACATGCGATTTTTGGGATCTGGGAAAAGCTTGCTCAGACCCCATCATGTATCTGATGGGGCTCAGGGAACCCAGCTCCAGTGAGCAGCTCCCCGATGCCAGGTTCCCATGCATCCCTTCAAACTTGCCAGGGCCCAGGGAGCCCAGCATCAGAGAGAGGCTCCCAGGTGCCCTTTCAACTATTATGCTGCACGTTCAAATCACAGTAGGATACAGACCAGGCACAAAGACATTCCACATTCAATGCAGAACATCTGCGGCTGGCTTGCCATTATTATCAGTTGATAAACTGGTTGAATGTGTGGCATGGTACACTTCATTGTGTTAACTGCACAATAAATGTAATGTCTGCCCGGGGTCTAGAGCAACCCTGCTCAACTCCCAGCAATCTGGCCCACAGAGCCATGTCATCCAGCCAGCAGGGCTCCCCGCAATAGAGGGGGAGCAATGGCAGCATTAACTGCCACTCCCCTGCTGCCAACTTTCTGGACCCACAGGGAGCTCTGTAGGCTGGATAGCATGGCCCAGCACACTGGATCAGGCATGGGGCCTGATCCAGGTGCACAGGATCTGGGCACCATCCTTGCAGATCCAGCCCGCAGACCGACCCTACACCACTCATCAGGCCCATGGGGCCAAAAAGGTTCAGCACCACTGGTCTAGGGCGCCTTGGAAAGAACAGTCTGTCTTTGCAAAATGAAAGCCTGTGGAACAAGTTCCCTAAGCTCCCACAGATCCAGAAACACATGGGAGGCCCAAGTTGTCAAACAAAAAAGAGAGAATGAATTCTTTTAAAGACAGTTGCACTTTTGCTGTTCAGAAGGACTGTTACCCTGTCCTTCCAAGGGGGCAAGCCTCTTGGAAGGGTACCTTAAAAATCAGCTTTACCAAGAGACTGAGCCCTCAGCACATCAACTCAGTAATTCATGAACATGTTCAGAAAGTCTCAAATGAGTAATTTTTATTTTGTAAGCAGTCACATTCTCTCCTCTTCACACATGCCAGCGCAAGCAAGTTTGGAGAACAGAAAACTGACTTGAATATCTAAATATTTTGGTCTAGGACACAAATCTAGCCCGGTCTTCTGTTTCGTGCCGAATTTCCACAAGACAACAACGTAAGTCTAGCAGCCTCTTCTGTGCAGTACTACTTAAGACTTACATAAACTCCCCTCTGCACAAAACGCTCCCGAGAACGCAAGCTGATGGGTTAGAGCTGTTCTGCCCTGGAAAGACTAGGACGCTTCTGCAGCACCCCCCTGCGCAATCTCACTCCCTCAAGGGCAGCCTGCCATTTCCCTTGGCTCCTCTGCTTCTCACATCAGTTATTCAACCAGCAAGTCTCTCTGGGCACGGACTCTTCTCCTTATCCTTACAGTGCCAAAAGTCTCAGAAGGAGTTTACCTGAGTTTGCACTAGTCCAGCATTAAATGCAAGCATCTAATCACTCTGTGGTTCACTCCTGCAGACCATGATCAATTTTAGCATGAAAATGGTCTCCCTGAAACCATGTTTAAAAACAACTCTAAAGAGGAACTTGCAGTAGAAAGTGACACAAAACTGCATGCAAGATGTTCAACACATCTTACTGACACTGAACACAAGGGGAGACTTGCTTGTGAGCACTGTGTAGGAAATAAAACACTACAAATGAAAAGGAAATATCCAGACTGTTAATATTTTATTAAATATGCATGACACTTCTCCGGGTATTATCACCTCACATCACTATTTCATCTGTTAGAAAACCTGCTCCTGTTGGCAGAAAACAATGCTATTATTTTGTTTTGTTTTTTCTCCCATTTGCCTGGCATGCAAAACTCTGTCGAGTTATTCCAGAAGTCTCAGCATAGCATATAAAGCAGATTTATATTTTTAGTTCTGGATGGACTGGAACCGACTTGTCTAATGTTTCCACATCACTTGTAGAACCGGTAGCATTAAACTTGTGGGCTGCCCATGGAAAAATACGCACTATACCTGTATCTGATTCAGTAGTTTGGGTATCTGTTTGCAGTTTAATTTCTGACAGGCTTGTCTGTAGGCAGTGATAATTTCCTCAACAGTCACATTCTGAGCTGAAAAAAATGTAAGGAGTAAAAATTCAGGTTACATTTACATTCACCAAAAATTAATAAATAAATGTAATCAAACTCCTCTATAAGCTTCTACTATTTGACAGGCACATACATGGGCAATCTGAGCATGAGGGTCATGTAGCGTCCTACCTGGAGCCATTGCAAGTGGCAGCAATATGAAAATTGGACAGTTTGAGGCTGCCACAGAACAGGAATGTCACTTGCTATTTTACTGCCAAGTATTTGATAATTGCATAACCCCGTACACCCGCCAAGTGCTGTCTCTGCACCATCTCGTTTGTTCATAAATCTGTTTTTCAATGAGGTTGTTTAAATATTTTTAAATGATTAAAAAAATAGAACAGAGTACAGCCTAGTTGCTTCTAGTTCACACCGTCAGCAAAAGGTAGCTGCGTGGCAGAACTCTTGAAGGTAATTCCAAAAAAAGAGAGAGGAAATTCCTGAAGGCAGCTAGGCTAAAAGGCTTAGCTAACGAAGATTTTTTAAATGCTCCCAAGAGCAAAGCTAGTCCGATCCACTGGCAAGGACAGTCCTCGTGGTCATCTGCTGTGACCTCCTGCAGAACAAAAGCCAAAGAACTTTATGCAGTGACTGACATACCTGGACAACAACCTGGACTGGAAGGAGACCTTCCAAGACCACCTTTGACCAAGACAGCCATCATTAAACAGAGGAAGCGAGAGAACCCGAGGCATTGCTAAGCAAGCTGCTCCCACGGTCGCTACCCCAGAGTTACACACCTTCGTATGCTTTTCATTGTGAACGCAGCAGACTCCAGCTCCTCACCATCTCAAGTCTTCCACTTGAGGAGCCTTCTGCTATCAGAAATCTCTTTGAAGACAGCCTGGGAGTTGCCCCAACCTCTTCTTTGATAAGCTAAATCAGTGATTCTCAACCAGGGTGCCGCCAAACCAAGTTAAACCCTGAGACTTCCAATAGGAATTCCTGGTGTTAAACGTTTGTTTTAGTCTTTCAGTTTTTTGCAATGAAAGAACGCTCTATTATTTCTCTAGCCACAAAGAAGAGCTGACATTTTCTGAGGGATGCCTTGAGTCTAGAACAGTTGAGAACCAATGAGCTCAATGGGCCAAGCTCCTTAAACCTGTGAAGCCTGTTTTACAGGCCACAAATCTCTGTTTTTTCTAAACCCCCTTAAGGATTGCATCTCCTTTTTAAAGTGGGGACACCAGAGCCAGGCACAACAGCCGCTCACTACTAGCAGTGAGAAGGCATGTCATTGCTGCTGTCCTGCTCAGTATTTCACTATTATTAGATGCAGAAGCAATGCCGGCCCTTCCTGAGATAGCAGCACATGGGGAACTCTAGCTTAGCTGCGAATCTACAGCCATCAAGAGTCATCTTCGGGGGAACTGCTTTCTAGCGCCCACCTTATAAAGTACGGCAACCGTTATCCTTGGTTTTGAGACCTAGCAGTGTGTCACGTCGAAATGTGTGTCTGATTGCATGCACCCTACAAAAGGTGTCCAGTCCGAATCTTCCCCCATTTTTACCATGCTCCGTCTATCAGTCGCACTTCAGCCATGCTTTTATCTATCCTTGTAGAGTGGTGATCAAAACATTGAACAGTGAAGCAAGATCATGCCAGACAAACCTGGGGGAACCTGATACCATTTTATCCCATTTGCTGATTACCTCCATGTCAGTTATGCTACAGGTGGTTTACAATAAATTCATTGCCCTGCAAAGCCTCAACTGCCTAAGTAACTTAGCTGCAAGAACAGGACCAAATGCCATCCATTTCTCTCTTAGAGAAAAACAGAGTTACTGACCAGGTTTGTGTAGCAGTCATGGATTGTTTAGGCCATAATGAACTACTGGATGCACCCATTTAGTTTCCTGTATAGTACAGGCCATTGAATTTTGCCCACATCTCTTCTATAACTGTCCACTTGTGGATTTTCTCTTATCAGTGAGAAGGTTAACTGTAAAGTTCCCAAGAAGAACATCATCTGCCTAGCCCAAAATGCTCTCGCCCCTGTCTCCAATAGTCAAAACAGCTCCCTCGTATGCCTGGGGAATAGAACATCCCTAGAACTTGATAAAAATTGATCTAATGACACCCAGTGGTGTGCACAAATCTCACTGTCTCGGGTAATACAACTTAACCACGGACAGCAGCAGCCAAACATGAAAATAAGAAGGGACATCTTCCTGATGAAATACTGCAGCAAGGCTCACCACAGTTTACGAACATAAACACTTATGGAATTACATAACTAGTAATGGCTGGTTAGGAGGATTCTTACTAGCCCTTATCTGCAAAGGATGCTTTTCAAGAGGTCACTTCATGGGCAGGCAGCAATTATGGGCATGTTATTAAACTGAAAGGGTAACCTAATAAGGCACCAAGAGCCGAGCAGAGCTATTTCACGCACGTTCTCAAAACCCTGGGATTAAATGACAGCGCGGCTGAACACAGGCCCCAGCACAAGTATTATAATGGACAAAAGATTCAATTCTTAAAAATGCAGCAAATGTACGTCAGGTTTGGATGCACTAGGAGTTACTGAACAAGAGCGTTGCATTAAAGAACAGTTATTTTGCATGGATCCAATTACAAGATATTAATCCACTGTGAATTACTAGGGCAAAAATGAACCTCGGCTATAAAAAGAGTAATTCCACCACTAACGCAATTATGAGAAAGCACCAGAAATCCCCAGTCACATCTGCCATGCACATTCAAATACATTTCCCCAGAGCCCAAACAAGTCATTTTACAGCATCGTGATAACAGCAGTGGCATGGTACATTACGCTTGTATCACTGCCCAAAACAAGCAGGGAATTAAAGATATTCTGCAGCGAGAGAGCAAGACTAAAGCCTGAATGACAACACATATCCGGAGAGCTCAGGATTCAGTTTCCCCCACAATGAACTATTTATATTCCAAATTTCCACGACTTCGTGACTGAGCAAGAGTAGACTGCTACATGCACAGAGAGTAAAGATGTTTGTAACAACATCTAATCAGTGTTCGCACAGGTTAAACCCATGTACTGTAAACATCTCCCCTCTCCCCAGACTGCCGTTAGCATGGTTTGGATTGCTCATCCGCTGATGAAAGCCTCAGGCAGCTTGCTGGTTTTCACGTTACATGTCTCCCAACCCTGAACAAGTCAAGGTGCCTTCACAGAGAACTGGCATTCTTGCACACAATTTGGAGACACATGCACACCCATACTTTCCAGACACGTGTTAAAAAAAAACCAAGTTATTTTATTCAAACAGCAGAAGAAATCAGGTTTGGACTTCACTTTGGGTTAGATTTAAGTTGGTCAGAGTTCTCTGAAAGATCAGTTTCTAGTCTGAAGCAGTCAAGGTTCCTTGGGTGAATTTGATATCTTTTATTAGACCAACCCAAATGGTTGGAGAATAGTTATTAAGCAAGCTAAGTCTGAAGCAGTGCTTTCTTAGATGTGAAGGGCAAGGATTTTTGCGAGTGAAGTCTTTTCCTGGACCTTCAGGCCAACTGCGTGGTGGGATAGACCTAGACAAGCTACTGAATGCTAAACATGCTTCATAGGTCTGCAGAAAGTAGCAGGCACAGCAACGATTAACAACACTGTGGAGGGCTGTGAAACTGGAGAAGGGAAAAGTTCCCAGGGGTAGCAGACAACCAATTAACAGAAGAAAAGACAGCTTGAGCAGTGGGAAATCACTCCAACGCTACCTCAAATGAGATAAAGGCAGCCGGGGTATCAAGCACTGGTCTTGTGGCAGTCGGGGAACCGAAGGAATCTGGGTCCCAGGCTCAGTCCCTATTCTGCTGCCAAGGCTTCTAGGGCAGGGGTGGGGGCAGCCCAGGGCTCCTTCCCACTCATCTGGAGACCCCAACTTTTCAGGCTCTCACCTTCCCTAGTTCTCTGCAGCCTTGACTCCATGAATTAGCATCTAGTTTTGCTCCCGAGAGGGGCATCACCTCCTGCTGAGGGCTGGGGGGGGGACGACGGACGGACGACGACACTGAGGACAACCCAAAGTAGCGAGCACCACAACAGGTCTCTTCAATGAGGGCATTTACTGGAACAAAAGCCATGCTGCCATAGGTTCTAGGTCCCTTCCAAAGGAGTTAGGCAGTTCCTCTGCCCCCAATCCAGCCCATACAGCTCAAACTCTGCTGAAGATCCTCAGCCGTTCCCTTTCCAGGCTGTCCAGCTCCCCCAAACTCCTCCACTTCAGTCCCCCAGGCTCTTTTCCCCAGGACTGAATAGGCTACTTCCCCAGCCTGCTCTCCCATCGTCACGTTCTTCTCTGGAGACCTCCTGGGTACCGGGCATCTCACTTCTGTTGATACATCAAAGCCATTCAAGACTGTTGGTGCTAAAGATCTACCACCACCCCCTCAGCCAGCCCTGCACTTACTCCTATGTTTTTTGTGCACAGGCTAAGGAGGCAAACGATCACACAATCCTGCAATAACATGAACACAGTTACCACAGAAATATCACAACAAAACCTGCAGTCTGTAACACTTCCAAAAATCAACTTTAATAAACGAGCTTGGGTTCCTTTTGCCTTCTCCTTTCAAAGCCTTTAAGTTCAAGGGTTTACATGTTTTCCTCTGCAACCAGGCGTTTCCCCAGACTTCCTTTTTCTATAAACGAAAGCTGAGATTTCCATGTAATCACATGCTTGTGGAGCAAGGGCCTTAAGAAAAAAGCCACCAAATATCATGATTCTCAATCATTCCCAGCTGGAATTAGCAACACCAGAACTTTCCAGACTGTTGGGAAACATTTCAGCTTCCTGTGGTCTGTCTTACCCACAGGGCCAATGTGGTCCCCATTTTCAAGAAGGGGAGGAAGGAGGACCCATGCAACTATAGGCCAGTCAGTCTCACCTCCATCCTTGGCAAAGTCTTCGAAAAAATTATCAAGGCTCACATTTGCGAGAGCCCGGCAGGACAAATTATGCTGAGGGGAAACCAGCACGGGTTCATAGCAGGTAGATCATGC